TTAAGTTTTTTTAGTTAAATTAAAATAAGTAGAACGTAAACGGTAACTAGTGTAAGAAAGACGTTGGTTTAAAATTAAAAAAAAAAGTTTAGGTTTTTTGGGGGGGGGGGGTAATTCTGTAGATATATTAAAGTAATAATGTCCATGAGACTGTCTGAAAAAATGTAGAACCACAGATAAGTATTTGAAAATTCATTACGGCATTTGAAGCCAATAACAGATTTTAGAAGTAATGATAATATCCTATGTATTCATTAAGCAAATAACGTTTAAGACGATGTCGTGTATAATTTTTCTAATTTTTCAACGATCCCTCAACAACAAACTCTTTAACAAATTTCCGAGGTGAGTTTCTCCGCATAATAGAATACATATTGATCACTATGCAGGAGTTCTTCACACGTGGTTAACGTGTAACTTGTCAATGTACCTTATCTTCACTGTATAAACTTAAAAGCTTTGTTATTGTGCCTTACTAAGTTTATTATTGATGACGATATTTTCATGTCACATGCGTTATTATAAACCGTCAACCCATTTACTTGTGTTCATTCGCACTACACAGGGCACGTATCACTCCGCCTTGTATATTATTTGTAATAATTTGTATTCGCAGTGAAAAATATTTAAATTAATATCAAAATATGATCTCGGATATATATTACGGCGCGAAATTGTGGTTCAAACCCCAGCCGTGATGTTGGATGTATAAATCTCTTATTTTATTTGTTTATTCCCAGACGGAGAGGAAACGTATTGATCTAATTTATAGAATGGTAACGAAGAGGTAAATAGTGCAGTGAAGCATGAAGCAACATAAACATTACGAGATGAGTTTCCATGAGCTAGACACGTACTTGTTTATAACTCACTGGGGCGAAACTGACTAGACATATACCATAATAATATTTGGGACACAGTGTGGTCGAAATACTATATTTTACATTTTGCTTCTTGATAAAACCGAAATAATGTAGTGTTATAATATAACAGATCTAATATTAATGTCTTACGATAAGTATAATTAATCATAATCTTGCTTCACCAGTTTAGAAAAGACATTCACACCATAACAATTAGTATTGTAACAAATGGCTTATATAAATAGTGTTAGCGTTCCAACCATTGCCGTGTTTGTTGCGTCCCAACTAGGCCTGAAGAGCTCTGGATTAAGCGAAACGCGTCGTCGGCATTGGATATGGCGGACATAGTTTGGTCGAAATACTGTTATTGTACACTTCTTGGAAACTCTGGGAGACTGAATAAATAATGTAGTGTTAAAAAATATAATAGGCCTAATACTAATGTCTTACGATAACTTACTGTGTTAACAGTTCATATTTATATTAAATATTGTATTGTAAATGATACAATTGTTTAACTGCATATGGATAATGCTTGGGTATAGAGTTCCGATTGATGCAAGTTTTTATTCGTTTGTTTTAGATTAACCTCAAAAAGGAAAGTACAATAGTTTTTATTCGTTTGTTTTAGATTAACCTCAAAAAGGAAAGTACGATAGTTTTTATTTGTTTGTTTTAGATTAACCTCAAAAAGGAAAATACGATAGTTTTACTTGTTTGTTTTAGATTAACCTCAAAAAGGAAAATACGATAGTTTTTATTTGTTTGTTTTAGATTAACCTCAAAAAGGAAAGTACAATAGTTTTTATTGATTTGTTTTAGATTAACCTCAAAAAGGAGAGTACAATAGTTTTTATTGGTTTGTTTTAGATTAACCTCAAAAAGGAAAGTACAATAGTTTTATTCATTTGTTTTAGATTAACCTCAAAAAGGAAAGTACAATAGTTTTTATTCGTTTGTTTTAGAATAACCTCAAAAAGGAAAGTACAATAGTTTTTATTCGTTTGTTTTAGATTAACCTCAAAAAGGAAAGTACAATGTACCATTTCTTTTACTTCGAATGCAAAACCAACATTAAGTTCTAATAATTATTTTCACTCGAACTTAGTCCAGATTAATGGGTTTTAAAATAGAAAACGTTGATTACGTGCTACTTGTTTAAAGAGTTGATTGTGTGCTCCAACTAAATTTTCATGGTTCTGACGTAGAATGATAAAGAGCTAAATTGTACGTTATGTAGTGATATATTGAGCCTAAAGGGGAATAAAATGAAATATAAGTTTAAAAAATAGTACATTTAGTACTTTCGGCTTTTTGATTGAGTATGTTTG